CAACCATCCAGGCTTGAACTCACAGTGCAGGGATGGAGCCACAGGTCACCTCGAGCCACAGAGTCACTGTGACACTGCTTGGACAGGAATACACTCAGCACACAGCAGCCCACCTGCCTCCCAGAACAGGGAGGAAAACACCATCTCCATGCTCCACCTTGCTCCCTGGGAAGAGTTCAAGGACCAGAGCATGCAGCTCATGTAGTTCAACACCACACCTGTGCATGATGTAAGCTAAGAGATGCTCTCCCATCCTGCAGCACCTCCTCCAAAGACAACAGCATCCAGTTCAGGACAATGGGCATAACGTATCCTGCATGACAGGACAAGGGAGAATGGCTTTAAGGCAAAGTAGGGTAGATTTAGATTAGGTATTAAGAAGAAATTCTTCCTTGTGAGTGTGGTGAGACACTGGAGCAGGTTTTCCTGAGAAGCTGTGGATGCCACATCCACCAGGCTTCATTTGCTTCCCACAGGCACAGTGATGCCCCAATTTGTCCTGTCTGGTGACCCACCCCAGCAGCAGGTCATAGCTTGGCAGGCTGAACCTGAACCAAGTGGCCCTCCTGCTGCAGAGAGAAAACAAGCCCTGGGTAAGGCCCAGAGGTGTTAAAGACAGACCCTAACCAAAGCCTGTAGCAATCCCATGGCATCACTGGAAGCACTCTGTACCCAAGAAGAGAGCAGTGATGATTAGAAGAAATTAACTCTTTCCTCTGTAAGAGTAGATGAGTCTCTGGGGTAGTAAGGGTAGATGAGTCTCTTCTACCTTAGACCATCATCGTTTTTTCCACAGGGGATCAACAGACACAGCAGATGCCCCAAATCTCCCCTTATTTTTGCCATCCATCCTGCACACCATCCATCCCCTTCTACTCATGTCTGTGCCACCCCTTCTTATTTAACCACCTCCCAACCATCCAGACCAGCTCACCCAACGCACAGACCAAACCTCTCACTTCCAAGGTGCACTGCCAGCACTCCTGATCCAAAAGGGGAGGGCAAAACTCAGCTTGAGGATCAGGCTGAGATTTCCACTGGGTCTGGTACCACCTGCCTGGATACAGGCTTCCCTCCCCCTTGCACAGCAGCATTCAGAGCACAAGGGAAAGAAGTTTCAAGCAAGGTGTTGGGATTTGGGCTAAGCTCAAAAGTTCTATTTAATTTCTAATGCAACAGCCTAGTGCTGCTGCCAAAAGGAGCCGCTGATGCTTCCTGAGTGATCTCCAAAATCTTCTTTGGCAAGGCAACGAGCAGCCAGCTTTGTTTTTAAGTGGATTCACTGAACAGGGCTCTCCAGGACCCCCTTCCCTGCTCAGGCTGGTGCTGTGGTTTCCCTCCCTCCGAAGCACTCCAGTAATTGGCTTTCTGGCTTCGCCGCGCCGCATCACGAAGGCGTCCAGCAAACAACCACCAGAGCCAAAACACGATTAGAGGGCTCAAACAGCTGCTGCCTCTGCAAAGATCTGGCATCCAGAGCAGGGCTGGAGGCCAAGGAAAGCAGGGAGGGAGGGAGGACACCCTGCTGGAAATAATAAGGCTGAGCCTGTTCCAGGAAAGGCTGCAGTGCCGGGTGCAAGAGGAAGTTGAAGCAAAACAGCCTGACAAGGGAAGGGACCTGAGCTGTTTCTCATCCTCTCTCTTTCCCCTCTGCCCAGAAAAACCTCAAACAAAAGGGAAAGCACTAGAGAGACTGGGGGTTTTGTTGGGGTTTTTTTGCCAAAGCAGCCTCAAGCTTTGGGAGTGCATGGAGGAACAGAGAGGACGCTGGAAGAAGAGTGGGGAAGGTAGAGATGCACACATGGAGGATGGACTGTTTAGATCCGTACTAGCACCATGGAAGTATGAGGAAATAAGATCCTGCCTCTGCCAAAGCACATTACCAGCACCCCAGTGAGTTCACTGTGGCTGCTTTTCACATGCAAGTGCTTTATCTGAAAAATCACAGAATGGTTTTCATTCAGAAGGACCCTCAAGATCACCTAGTTCTGATTGCCCTGCTGTGGCCAGCAACACCTTCCATTAGACCACATTGCTCAAAGCCCATCCACCCTGGCCTTGAATACTTCCAGGGATAGGGCAGCTACAGCTTCTCAGGGCACAGTTTATCTCCTACGTCTGATTTCTTTCCACAGATCACAAGTGACAACTTTTCTGAGAAAGCGAGTGGTTGTTTTTAATAGTGGACAGCTTTTATTTCCATTCTCCACCCACTCTGTTCTCACAGCAAAGCTAGAGACACAATGATCTCTTATGTTTTATCACAGTTTTAGCTCATACACTCCAGAACAACCCATGGCCATGGCCCTGAGAGATAAAAGTGTGTGCACACCATCCCTTCCCTGTAAACAGTATCCCTGGGACTGGGGACTCCATTTCTTGGTAAGGAAATCCCCAGAACAGCATCTGCCAAAAGTTGAGAGTATTACTACTTGCCTTTTTCTGAAAGAGATTTAACTGTGATTTACTAAGATAAGATTTGCTGGTTGTAATAGAAACAAGATGTTTTTGTGGTTCAATAACTGCACCATGCCATTCAATAGCACACAAGGAGAACAGTTGATTTAAGCTTCATGGACATTTTGGACTCTACTGAATCCTGCATTAACTTGGAAAAGCTGATACTGATTGCTTTCTTGCAGAAGATGCTGGGATTTTTCCTGGACTCCCTCCTTTAGAAAGCCGGTATGAAGTCAGGAAGAATCAGGTCCAGCAACTAAAAATGTCATTTTGCATTTTCTGCTGGCACAAAGCAATTCTCCCTGTGAAATTGAGTTACTTTTGCTGAAATGAACAATTGAGAGAAAGAACATAGAGAAATGCTTTTGAGAAAGAGGTTTCTCGAAACTTCAGCAGCAAACAGGGCAGGTGTGAGCTCATATTCTTTTTTTAATGGTGATTTTGTGGTCAAGGCAACTGAGTGGGTCTGATCAAACAATCCTGCCAGACAGGGGCATCATGAGTCTGCCACTGCTCAGCATGCATTCCTTCTGGCATCCAAGCTGCTGGCAAAATTCCCTTTATCTGGTGCAGAGGCAGCAAAACAAGGACCACCTCTGTGTCTTGCTAAGCCACAGGACCTTGCTGGCAAATGGGACCCACTTCCAGCCTCCATTCCCACTGACAGCCCATGCCAGAAAGAGCCCTGGTTCAACATTCTATGCTAATTGCTTTAAGGGTCTCCTCCTACCCAAACAGTTCTATGATCCTAAGAAACTGCAGAGCTGGGTGGCTGGGAAAAGTTTGAATTCACTCTGAGTTTCAGCAAGGATGGGTTTGAACTAGGTGAGCATGACACCTTGCAGATGAGGTTCAGAAAGCTTTCTTAGAAAGACCTCATGCTCTACAGAGCAAGGCAGCAAGAGGATAATACCTGCCTGAACACCAAGGGCTGCAAGTGAGATGAAAGGCAGAAAAGCAGATGGAGAAAAGCTCTGAGATGCTCAGCACAACACTTTGTCCCTCAGCAGTAGCAATCTTTGTCCCTCTACAAAGGGATCCAACCCTCTGTCCTTAGACATGGGGCTGAAGTAATGTGTGTGACCCGACTGCAAATCAGCAAGGGGGTCTCAAATACATCCCCACCTTTTAGTCCCAGAGAAAGCCGTTTAGAAAGCCTCAGCTATCACCTGTGTGCTGTATAAATGGGATGTGCACGGTGTGTTCATGTTGGCCCCCACTGTGAGACCAAACCATGGTCAGCCCTGTCTTCAGAAGGCAGCTGTGCACAAAGCTTCCTTCCCTTTCCACAGACAAGGGGAATAAACTAAAACACACACAGGGCTTTGCACAAATCCAGTGTCCAGGCAGAGCTGGAGTGGAAGACACAAAGGCAGAGCAGAGGGAAGTGAGGTCTCCTCCCACAAGGAGCCCAGTGGGATGCTGGGGGGCCCAGTCACACAACAAGAGTCAGTTCAGCTCCATCCCTCCCTTCACACAAAGCCTTTTGTGCACCCTCTCCAGACTGCCCTCACCCAGACAGACACAGCACTGTTTTGTGGAAGGCCAGCTGATTTCCTGGGCTGTCAGCAGGGGTGAAGACAATGCTGGCAGCTCAGGCAAGCCTACAACACTCAAATGCCACCAAGTCACGTGTGGAAAAGCACAGGCTGGGCAGAGAGGGCTGCTGCTCCCCACAAGGAAGGAAGGAAACCCAGGTGTGTGAGATGCTGGCATACTGCCACTCCCCAACCACAATGATCACTGCTACCTGAGACTCCCTGTGCTTCATGGCAGTCAGAGAGCTGCTCTCACGGGCAACTCCAAGCAGACAGCCATAACAAGACATACACATTCCCCACAGTGCCCTCAGGTCCTCATGTGTATCCTTTGAGCTGGCACTGAGGACAGCAGAAGAGGGACTGGCAATGCTGGGGACAGCCAATGTCATCTCCAGCCTCCTACAACCTGCCTTCATGACAGACACGGCAGCGTGGAGAAGAGGCAGAGGACATGGTTTTTGCACAGAAGAGGAAGGATGGGTATGACCACCCTCTTCCCCAAAGATGCCAAAACCACCTCACTGACCCAAAGCTTACCTTCTTGTCCCTTTCCAAATGGACCACCAAGAGTATTCCAGTGGAAGGTATCCCTGCCCCTGGCAGGAGGGCTGGAACTAGATCTTTAAGGTCCCTTCCAACTCAAACCATTCAGAGATAACACTGCCTTGCTGGACCCACCAGCTTTACAGAAGTACACAACACCAACCCAGCTGCAAACCATCTCCCTGGTTTATGCATGGGGAAACTGAGTCACAGAAAGAAGCTCCTTTGCTCCTGGACCTCACTGGATGCAGAAAAGCTTGGACCTCAGTGGAGCAGGTCTTTCTGGCACCCTAGATGCTCACAATATCAGGTCTGGGTAAATAAATGCTGTTGGGCAGAGGAAATGTCGACTGGGGCTTGGCAGCCTTGGTGAAGGGTGCACTGTGCGTTTTTAGCAACACCTGAGAGCAGATGGTGGAAAGCAGTGCTGAGGGGCAAGGGGATGGGTGCACTTACTTTGGGTCGCTTCCACTGGATGCCCTGAATCCTTGACTTGTAGAAGAGCGAGTCGTCGTTGGCGGGGAAAAGCGGGTCCTCGAAGAGCTGCTTCCGCCGCTGGCACTCCTTCTTCAGAGAGGCGTAGCGCTGGTTCTCGTACGGCTTCACCGAGGAAAACATCCTTCCCCACCGCCTCTGGAGGACAGGCAGAGCAGCAATGAGACGGGGCACAGTCTGCCCAGGGACACTCAATCCTCCTCTGCCACTCTTGGGTGGCAGCACCAAGACATCGTGGCTGAAAACAACCACCTCTGAGTCCAAGCGTACCTTGTTGATCCCCTGGGATTGGGACTCCCAGTTATCCCCCAAGCCAGTCAAAAGACACCAAACCAAGCACAGTAGTAAATAATAACTGGTGCCCAGCTTCTCAACAAATTTGTAACTCATCTGTGGAAAACACAGCCCTCAGAGGCAAAGGAGGAAAGTACACCACCTGTAAGATGGGTGTGCACAGCTGTGGGGGCTGAGCCCTACCCGGAGCACCGCCATCACGGAGCCTCAACTCACAAAACTGTGCATTTCATGATTTTGTCAGTGACACCAATTTCTCAGCAGACTTTATCAGACCGGGTTTTAATTAAAAAAAAAGGTCTCCTGGCAGAGCACTGCATGTTTCTGTATTAATTATTCTTTCCTGACAAGCGTCTTGCTTCCAGGGCAGAGATGTGAATTTAGCAATCCAGACAACAGCAGGAAACCACTGCTCAAATGCCCCCCAGAAAGAGATCAGCACCTCTCCATCACTGCTCCACCACCCCTGCCTTTTGGTCACTGGGTGCCAACCCCTTTGCTCAGGCACAAGGACAAGGGGTGCTCTGCATAGCTCCCCACTGCCTAATCACAGACTTCTTCCAGAACTCCTTCCATAACGTTTCTCTCTATTTATTTATAACAGCCATGTACAATCCTTATCTCTCCCCAAAATGGGATGTCCTTTTTCAAAAGCTGGCCATTAGTGACCTCAGTCTGGAAATATCTAGTGTGGTTTCCTAAAGAAATGGGAGTGCATGTGCTACATAACCATGGAAACATGGAATCATTCAGGTTGGAAAGGACCTCTAAGGTCACCTCTGCCAATTGTTAACCCAGCAGTGCCAAGCCCACCACTAAAGCATGCTCCTAAGTGACATAATCCCAGCTTTAGTCTCCAACATGGTAAAACTAAGGGTGCCCCATCCAGTGGTGGATGCATCCAGCAAGCTGACCTCTCATCCCTCCTAGTGAGACATACAGAAACCGTATGCTTGCTGTGGAATCACAACACATGGTGGGATAATGAAGTTGCGATAATGGCTAATCAGAAGCAGCTAATTTGTAAACACCCCAAATCCCAAGGATCATATGATCACTTATGGTTGACACCAATTTAAGCAGCAGTGTGACATCCCTTGTTAATGAACCACTAGGATTAGCAGAAGGAAAGTAGGTGTCTGAAAGCTGAACTAATGCCCATTCTGATGTTCCAGGAGCACTGCCCACCCAGCCAGCCTTCTCTCCTCTGGGAGAGACAAAAACACTTCACTTATGGAAAGCTGAAGAGCAAAGCACAGGTTTTAATTGACAACATTTATCAGCTTGATTAGCAGCACAAGTGCTCATCACTCAGAGCTCAAGTGAACCCAAAATAATCCCCTTGCTGGCTGCTCCACAGGTCTGTGCTACTGAGGAGGAATTGCAAAAGCAGCTTGTGGGGATTTTCTCCCTCCCATCAGTACCAGATGCTTTGTAGCATCCCAGATGATACAGAGGCCCAAGTGCATCACCTGCCCTCAGAAAAGCCTTAAAAATAAATGGCCTGATATAAACCCCCAAGTAATACACCAAATTTACTCCTTGTGGAAAGGCTGACAGCCTCACTGAGCAGTCAGGGAATACACCCAGTAGCCCAATCCACCCTGCTAAGAGGGCCAGGGAAGGCACTGGCCTTCAGATCTCCAGGAGAGGAAGAGGTGAAAAATAAGGGAGATTTACCCAGCGAGGTCATGGGGACATCCTGGAACTGAACAAGCTGATTTTGGGTGACAATGAGGCCAAGACTTTCACAGTGATAGCACTCATTGCTACAGAGAGATGGGGGAAAGCAGCAGTGCTGGGAAAGGACGGCTGGCAACTGCCTTCTGCAGGAATACAACAGGCTGAGAGAGGAGGAAGATGGTGTTAGCTGACATGCAAGATGAATTCTTGGACTGGTGCATGAACTGGACTGAGATGATATTTCCATGGGAGGTTGTGCAGAAAGAACCAGCGAGGTTAGGAAGGGAGCCTGGAAGGGAGGGGAGGAGGGAGGTCTGGTGCCTTTCTAAAAGCCATGCTCAAGTTAAAGGCAGGAGTTTTGGGTTTGATGTAGGAGATGCTGGATGCTTCTCTGCAGCCTGTACCATGGCCAAGGGCTGGCACTTGGCTGCTCATTCATAAAATTACTGCTACACACCCTGCAGCTTGGAGCTGTGCTTTCCAGTGATCCTTGCAACACTGACTTTCACAAGACACCCTGTGCAATGTCCATCCCTATGGGAACAGGATGGTAGTCATCTCAGCCAAGGAGTTCCAGCCTTTCTGATGCCCAGATTTGCCTGAAATTTGCCCTGCTATGCCACCCTACAGTGACTGTCACCTTGCCAGCCATCTGTCCTCGCTGCAGGGCTACTCTCACATGACAGCCTGTAGATGGATTTGAGTTGCAAAGAAAATGCCAAGCAGAAGGGGAAGGGACACTGTTCAGGTTCATTTAGAAAAACAAACAAATAATTAAAAAAACACCTTGCAAAATAATTAAAAGGAAGGGGCAGAGGGAATGTTCTTAGGGCAGTGTTAAAATTCATTACTCTTTCTAATTTGCAGCATTTCATGCTTACCAGGCTGAACTTCACCTCTGCCACATTAAAATGCCCAAAGGCTGTCTAATTACTCTTTGCCTTCTTGGACCAAGCTCAGATGCTCCAGGAGCATAAGAACTGGGTGTTTTCATGCCTGATTTGAATTAACAACTCTACACTTGCATATGCATGTGTTTGCCTGTGAGCAGGGAGGGGAATCTGTACTCACCCCTCTTAGCACGAATTTTTATAAACAGTGGTCTGATCCCAACCTCAGTCCTGCCATGAAGGAGTTAAACAAAAAAACACTTTGTTGGAAGACTGAGCCAGACTTATGACTCAGGGGTGTTGTGGATTCCCCTTTTCACCTCCAGCATCATCCAGGTGCTCCAGCTCCTGCCAGCTGGTAACAGTCATGGCTCTAAGAACTGCAACAGGGAGAAGGACTGAAAGCATTTTGCACTGGCCAGGACCAAATTCCTGCTGAAAGGCTCTTACCTCCTCCCCTCCAAACATCTCCCTCTCCTTGCCTTCCAGCTCAGAGGCTTCTCGGGTGGCTGGCATGGGCTCACCAAGCTTGTGTTATGCAAGGCTGCAGCCTGGCCAGGAGCAAAGCCTCCTTCTTGTAGATCCTACAGCTGCCTGCCTCCAGGTCAGACAAAACACTTTGTTCCAAAGGACAGGATTTGCTGCCCTTCAGCTCCATTCCCACTGAACAGGAGAGGGCTTCGATATCACATTGCAAAAGCACAGGATCAGCCAAGGAGAAGATGAAGCAGGAACCAGGCATGTGGCTGCACAACCCTCAACCAGGTACAATGTTATGGGGCTCAGTAGTGGGGTGTTCAGAGGAGCAGGCAGGCTTTTTATAAATACGTTATTTAAATAACTTTTTACAGCCTCCTTGGGTGTTTCTATTGACAGACATGTGGCAACACCAGGGTTATCCTGTCACCTACCAACACAAAAGTCCAGCTCAGCAGAGGAAACCCTGTTGATGCAAGGAGAGCTTTACACACTGTTTCTCCAGGGCCCAGGGAAGAAGAAGAAGCAGTTGAATTGCCACTCACTGTTTACACTGAACATAAGATAAGCACTCCACACCTCTTGGCCAACAACTCTATGCCAACCATGAACAAAAAAGCCTCAAGTCCTCTTAGAATCATAGAATGGTTTGGGCTGGAAGAGACCTTCAATATCCTCTAGTTCCAACCCTCCTCACATAGCTCCTCTGGGCAACCTGTGCCAGTGCCTGTGCCATTCCCAAAGCCCTTTCCCACTCCCAGCTGTGCATGCACCCTAGTTTTGCTTTGGACCCCAAATGGCACGGCCCAGAGCCAGCAGCACAGCGCAGCATCCTGCATTAGCAATGGCCACAAGCAGGGGAAGCTGAAACCGCACTGATGGAAATTAGAAAACAAGACATCATTTCTTCTCAAATTGACTGTGGTTAACCAGGGAAGCTAATTCCCATGGGAAGTTACAGGTAGCTCGTGTCCAGATGTTTTTGAGCACAGTTGGACATCTTTACAGAGCAGCTGTTTTAGCCAAAATGCAAATTACTGAACATTTACAGTGGTTACTTGCTGAAACAAAACTGTTGAAGAACAGAGCACTCAATGTCCCCTCCTGGCCTTTATATCTATTCTTCATCAGGTCATATCTCTGTTCTCATTTAAAGGCTAAAGGTGAAATTATAATTTTCACTCTTAATTAGGTTTATATCAAGCTCTGATTTTAATCAGTGATTTGCTACAGCACAGGTGGCATCCAAATCAGGACACCTTAGCACAGCACCTTTCAGCCTGAGGGTTAATTTTGCATGAGCAACCACAGGGACTAGCTGCTCCCCCTCAGAAATTCAGAGCAGTGGATTTAGACCTAAAAAACATCCTGATGGGGCCAAGGGCTGTTTCTTCTAAGTGAGTAAACCCTCTGGCTTTTTGCAAGCATATAAGTAGAGCAAATGCTCCCTGATGAATCCTCCTCCTCCCGGCAGCAGGAAAAAGCATCCCTCTGCAGAGATCCTGGTCCCTTCTGTAAAGTACTCCAAGACCTGCAAAGGAAGTTGCTGTCTAACAGCTGGCTATTACTGAAAATAAACTCAAAAAAAAACCATCCTTTTGACAAGGGCATGTAGTGATAGGACAATCTGGAATGGCTTTAAACTGAAAGGGAGTAGGTTTAGGTTTGATATCAGGAAGAAAGTCTTCCATGTGAAGATGGTGAGGCACTGGCTCACGTTGCCCAGAGAAGCTGTGGCTGCCCAATCCCTGGAAGTGTTCAAGGCCAGGCTGGGAGGGGCTCTGAGCACTCTGG